AGCGGGTTTGGCTGGTGGAATTCCCCCTCCCCCTCCACACACACGTTTTTTAAAGCCGTTTTCTGGTAGCTGAAGAGCTCGCTATCGTTCGGGTACAGAACAGCAGGTTCCAAGTTGAGCATTTCCTTTACACGTTCACAGGTTACCTCCCTAGTGGGAGTTTGATCATCACGTCACACGAGCAGGGCCGTTCTTCTGTGTCTGTTTTAAAATACAGGCTCGTACACGTGCTTCCACGACTTTTCCAAATCGCTGAGAAAAACATCTTAAAAGATGTCTGAGGACGTGATTGAGACCATATTTGAGAGTTTGTCCTTTGAATGGATGTAGCCATAGAGCTGCGGTGGCTGGTGGTAGTAAGGATCCAGCTGAGCTCTCAGTTTACAGGAGAGAGGAACAAAATTGCTTGGGGTGTTTATGTTCGTATTTTGCTCTCTTCCCCCATCGTTTTGCAGAGGTCCAGGATCCAGGTCTGGCTCTATGAGCAAGTGAACATGCGGATAGAAGGATGCATCATTGTGAGTATCAGGAGGTACCCTTATTATTTCTTTTGTTAGTTTCTCCAGAGTCACAGATTCTATTTCTTCTCGTCAAGGGAAACTAGCACAGGTTGAAAGAGCACTCCTTATGCCTCCAGTGAATGGTCTTAATTGTCTAGCCTGTGTCAGCATATTTATTGATAGTTCGTATCACTGTTGCTGAAGTTAAGAGTAGGAGACTGAGCTCGCTAACTGCTTTTGTTGTTGTTTTTTAGGGCTTTGATGAATATATGAACTTGGTTCTGGACGACGCAGAGGAGATTCACTCAAAAACGAAATCAAGGAAACAGCTCGGTATGTCTGTATAACCTAAGCGATGCATGATCTGAAACGTGGTTATTTGAGCCTTCCAAATGGCAGCGCTTTAAAATACACAACATGTGAAGAGTTTTGAGTTTGAAGTATAGTGGAAGGATACTGGCTAGATCTGTGTGCCTGCTCTTTGTTGATTTGGTGGTTTTGTTGGATATGCAGGAGAATCTGTCAGTGCCTGAGACCTATTTTCAGCTTTTAAATGTGTGTAACAATGTAAGGTCTGTGCTGCATCTCTCTCTTTTTTCCTGCAGCCAGGGCTGGAGGAGTTCAGGCAAAACTCCTTTCAGCTTCATCTAAAACAGATATCTCTAAGAAATTTTTACACGTGCTGTGCCACCTCTGAGTCAAAGCAAGGAACCACCTAAGTGGTGGTATGTAGTATTTGCCATCTGCTGATGAAGATAAGCAACGGTCTGTGACAAGCGATGTGTTCAGGCTCTTACCGGGGGCATAGTGCTGCTGGGGCGCAGAGCACTAGAATGGAGATTGTGTCTGATACGCTGTAGTGTGAACTGTGCACGTGGGCCATGTGCTGCCAGGCTTGTAGTCCTGTGGTGTGGCCAGCAAGGAAGAGACTGTCTGTGACCGTAGTCTGAAAAAAAAACTCGTCAGTTATCATGTGGGCATCTTCTTGCAAACATCTTTCCCTTTGTGAAATGTTATTTGAAAATATGAGGTTATTCTCAGACCCTGGGATCTTTCTAATTCCCCCTTTCCTTTCTCTGTGTTGCAGGTCGGATCATGTTAAAAGGGGACAATATCACTCTTCTACAAAGTGTTTCTAACTAGAATTTGCTGTTCTTCCCTTAGAACAATAGTTACTGTGCTTCAGAGCGGATAAAGTGCTAGGTCATGGGAACATGAGCTGCTGGTAGATAGGAAGCTACGTGTAGCTGGGGTTGCATGCTGAGGTTAAAATGGTTTGTAGCTTTGTGGGAGTATTTTTTTTTAACTTCGATACCATAAAAGATGTATTTCACAAATAAACATTTTTCATGTTAACTGTAAACATAAATCTGCTTGTTTTCAGTCTCATGTCCTTCTATGAGTGGAGGAAGGGGAGAAATGTGTTTGGGGTTCTTTTCACCATGGGTCTATGCAGTTTCTGATAAGAGAAACAACTCTGTGTTCTGGAACATCAAATCTGCGTTATGTTGACAAGATAGACTTGTTCGGAAAGGATGCTGGAGCCACGTGCAGTCCTTGAGCTTGCGTGGTTCTAGTGAAGTTGTTATAGATTTTCCCCAAGAATACAAGAATATGCAGTTACAGCCCTCAGTGCCCACTATGACAGCTTCCTGAGACATTTTCTAAACAAAACAACCAACACCTAATTTCTTGAGGAAAAAACACCTAATTTCCTGAGATTTTGTACAGGAGTGCTCCTTGTGCATCAGTCTTTACAAGTTTGTTAGCGGGTTGGCAAGGGAGTTGGGGCTGTAGTATAATAATCTGACATTTGCAAACTTTACTGTTCTTCATGCTTTCAAAGTAACTTTTATCTTCAGATGGAGTTAGTTTGGATAAAATCTTTATTTCTTGCTTCTTTGGCCAGGGTCTCTAGGTTAAACTGTGGTTCTGTTAAATAAGTTGAGATCTCAAATGTATTGGTTGTTTTTTTTTTTTTAATCTTTTTTTATTATTATTATCCTCTTGAGGATCTGGCTGTTTTATTTGGGGCTCCAGAAGAGAGTTGAGTTGCATATCTCATCACTAAAAGATAAGTTTCATAGCTTACTTGTGATTGTCAGTACCCTCTGATGCTTTTCTGATTAAAGAAAAAGAAAAGAAAAGAGAAGAGTTTCAGCTGTAATTGTAGCTCTTAGACTAAGATTACCTGGGGGAGGAGAAATGAGTCTTGATACACAGGCTGCAGTAGAAGTCATTTAATCAGCTTTCAGTTTTTCAAAACTTAAATCTGTGTATCATTTTAATCTTGAAAATTAATAAATTCAAGATGGAAGAATCTTGCCTCACAGAATTAGGTACAAGATATGAGTCTTCCGGCAGAGATCACCCAGCATACTTCCCCCATTCCAAGAAGTCAGGAATGTTGTATGGATCGGGAATATTGTATTTTGTATTAGCGTTCACAAGTTTCAAAGTCATTTGAACATATAGTGAATATAAATAACCTGCCAGTGTCCTTTGGGAATAGAAGTCATTAAATGTCACCAGCAGCTAGCTTGTATGGAACAAAATACTAACTGGGTCCCCTCCCTGCATTTGTTTTCCATTTTATTCTTGCTGTGCCAACTGAAGCTTTCAGAGAAGTAAGGAAGTTGTCTCAAGCGACAGTTTAGGTGTTGCAGTAATGGGTTTTTTTGATGAAGTGCCTGTAAAATTTACCTGCCTGCATCTCTTTCTTGCTACAGACAAATAATGGCCTTGAGATTCTTTGCCTAAAGCTGTAAAGCCTCTTTTTGAAGTAATTATTTTTTTTCCAAGTATATATGGAAAATATCGTACAAATGTGGAGACAGAAAGAGGTTATTTAACAGAGAGTCTGTTGCAATCAGATTGTTTAGGTACGGTAAATTGAGGGCCAACTGAAATAAAGTTGCCTCAGAGCCTACTGAGGGATCTGTCCTTTTTCCATTTTGTTCATGGCTGACAAGAGGTTGATCTTTGCGAAAAGTTGGACATTAAGAGAAATAGCTTGTTCTTATCAGCACTGCTGCTGCCAACTCCAAATTATGCACTTCAAGACGCTGTAATGCCTCCTAGAGCTCCTCTGCTCTTTGATATTATCAAATTAGTGCGAATGAATGTCAATATTGGAGTAGGTTGATGATGGGAGGAAGGAAGTCCAGGCTAATCAGCTATGAAGCATCTCGTGATAAGGTACCAAAATAGGCAGTAATTATGTGTGTGTGTGGGGGGGGGGAGTTGCAGAAGAAAATGAGAAGCTTTTTTCAGGAAACCATGAAAACTGTAGAAAGCCTGCAGGAGAGCCCGAGCATGTGTGGATGTCCAAGAGGAAATGCAGCCCCATTGTTCGTGGAGCGCCTTGGCAGTGGGGCGTTGTGGTCCAAGAACAGAGCTTCTAGGCGTTACCAGCACGCAGATGGGGCACAAAAACAATTCTGGTTTTGCTGAACTGGCTTCCCAAGAAGCACTTGTCTGCCCCCATAAAAACCACAGGACTGACTCATCTAAGTGCTTGCTGATTTTTTTTAACCCCGGATCCTTCCAGCTTCCTGAGTGTTTCCAAGCTGCAGGCAGCAAGAAGGTAATGTCTCATGAGTTGCTGAACGTGAGGTGCCAGGACAAGATGATGAGACTCAAACTGGTTGCAAAAGAATGCGCTAGACTGCAGGGGGTGCTGCGGCCTTAGCGAGCTCTCCCCTGCCCCTCCAGCAAAGTGTCATAAGCCTCCGCAGGAACACAGAGTTCCCCAGCATTCAAGCAGCTTTATTGGCTCCCGAACAACCTGGAAGAAAGAAAACTGGGCTGCCTAGTGTGGGGCTGTGCTCAACTGGTGTGGCAGCCAGACAGGGTGCCTGTGTCTCCCCGGCACCAGTGCCGCCCCTGACTCGTCCGTACCCTGAGAACTGGGGTGTTCCTGCTCTTGAAAGGGATGAGGAATCAGAGGTTCTGTTTTTGACTGAGCAAGAGGCGGTGAGGAGGAGTAAGGTAGAGTGAATGCTTACAATTGGGCTCTGTGTTTAGAGAACTCCTGTTGCTTGGCTTTCTGCTGTGTCGAAGCCTGTTGTGTTTGCTTTTGCGAGCTGTACTTTTCCATAACGTGCAAATTCCTTTCCCTCAAGTGCAGGGAGGGGAGTCGGAGGGTAGTAGGGGGAGGACCAGGCCGGAGCAGGGGGGCATGTAAAGGCTCCTTTTGAAGACGATGCCTTGAGGTGGCATTATGAGAAGTGCCCCAGCGTGCTGGATTATTGCAGTGGGATGTCATGTTGTTGTGCAAATACCGTGCAGCAGTGTTCACCCGTGTCTAGGAAACAAAGTGTTTACGGTGGAGTTTGCCAGTGAAAGTTTTCTTACCACTACTAGCACTCAGATGTTACAAACGAAAATCAAGCTGAGGGTAGTTCTAGATACCTTCTCACTTTCCCCTAGGGTGAGTATTGTAGCAATAAAACTTGTAGCTCTTTCTTAAAAGGCAAATAGTTGAGGACTGTTTGTGCACTACAGATGGCTCTTTACAAGTTACATAAGATAGAGGTCTCCACCGTGTGGCCTTTCAGCCTGAGACCATTGCATTGATTGTGGCAGACAAATGACAGCCCACTCGGATCAAGGTGGGGCCTGTGCAGAGCGTGTCTGGGCTTTTTGTTCGAGGTGAAGGTGACTCAAAATACTGGAAGGTGCTTTGGGTAAATATCTCTCCCCTTTGTCTGCCTGTGGCTTTGGGGTTCCGGGAAGAAGACTGCACTTGAAATCGTCCCTTTCATACGCCAGAATGGATTGCCCTACACCAGCCCAGCCCTTTTGCAGGATGAGGCCCTCCCTCCCGAGGAGGGAGGCAGAGTGGTCCTGTCTTTCCTACAGGGAGAGTGTTTCTCTGTCCTTCTTTGGTAGGATGTTATGGATTTGCAAAGTAATTATATATATGCTTGAAACTAAACCTAGGAGCCAGCCAGCTGCCTGGTACTAGTGGAGACACTAGCAGGTGTTTCTTGATGCTCTACTCTGCTGTTGAAAGGCATTATTGCACTTTTGTTCACGTATCTTAGGCTTTGTGTATGCCCTCTGCTGTAGCGGGATTAGTCCTAGGGCAGGACATGGACCTGTGCTGGCACTACGCAAGGGAATGGACACCCTGAGTAGCCTGTGGCTGCTTGCTAAGCTTGGACTAGCTTCAGCATTTGCTGTATTTTCAGCTCTGTAACCTTCAAAGCGTCTGTAAAATAAGTAAATAATGAGATGAGATTTGTAGCTGTGTGGGCTGTACAAGGGGAAAATCACCTTTCCCTCCGCAGTGCCCCACCACCACCTCTGATCCCATAGAGCTTCCTTCTCCCCAAGCTTCAGCACCTCAGGCTTAGTGCGTATTATTTGAGAACTTATTTCAAGTGCTGGTATGTTTTATGCCTTGTGTGCCTAAAAATAATGGTATCAAAGCAGCAACAGCGGAAGGTCGAGGAATCAAATGGCTAAGAAGCTGTCCCCTTAGGGCAGCATCTGAACGTGGGCAACTTGCATGTAGGATAGGGGCAGGAGGATAGAGAGCAGCCTTAAATCATGGTGTAATGGTGCTTCCTAAATGCCCTGTTCATCATTCTCATTCCAGTCCGGAGTGAGGATGGACTAGTTCGGGATTGTTTTCCCTCCAAGTTTTCTATTTTTCACTCTGGCTAATAAAACTGATTTCCTCTTGCTGAAGACTGGGTTGGTGTCCGGCAAAAGCAGATATGATGCCTGGGGAAGGGAGTTTGCTGGGCAGCCATTTCGCCCTTCTTCCCCTGTAGTCCTTGTAGAAGGGCTCTCATCAGACGAAATGCCAAAAACTGGCTTCAGCAGGTTTTGTTAGTGGCAGTACCCTCCATTGGCAGCCCACACACAAGGTGCCCAGCATGGCTGCCCCCCCATCGTGCATTTTCACATTCATACCCACCAGGGGCATCATTACTATTGTTTGTAACATCTCTTGGAAAAATGAGTCATGGGCATTTTGCCTGCCCTCGGCAGGGAAACTCTGCCACATTAGCAGCAGCAACGCCCGCCCCCCTGCTCTGCTGCCTCGCATTCCAGCAGGCCCTTTCGTGCAAGGAGCTCGACTTGCTTTGCTAGAGTTGGTTGATATCGCTTCTTTTCTTGTCGGTGGTAACTTGGGCCTCAGAGAGGGTGCTGTTCCCTCATTTCAGATGCACAAGAGCCCAGGAGGAGTTCAGCCTGAGGTATTATAGGAAATCTCCCGCACCCACTTGGAGACCTGGTTCTTGTAGGTTGTCTTCCCTCCTGTACCTGGAGCTAAAATATTTAAGCTTCCTGCTGGGCTTTGAAACATGCTCCTTGCCTAGCACAGTGTTGCAGTGGATAA